GACTGGTTTTACAATGAAAGGTGCCTTGAAATTGAGCTCAAAGTAGCAGAAATGTTCGATTTTTACCAAACTTCAAAAGTAAACAAAGCGTGCAATACACGTCAACTGGTGAGTCTAATATTCTTTCACAAGTGCACCAATAATATTTATACCATTTTTTACACTAATACAGTAGTCTGCATAACAGTAAATCTTATATTTTTTGTGAGAATAAAAATTCAAAGTGGAAAGCAAAAGAATATAAAAGGGGCCTTGAGACGTGACTAATGACTAGAGGAAATGTCATTTTAGTGCCAGGAATGTCTTTCTTGTTTATTCTGGACCCTATTCGGAAATTGGCATCTTTTGAAATTTGTGTGAAACTGGCAAAATTGCTAAATTCTGACCACTTTATTGGATAGTTGAAGTTCATAAATGGGTGGTTTCTTGCACCCATTCGATAGAAAAAATGGAGTTCTAGCGAAATATTCATGTTTTTTGTTGACTAGTACAGTGAAATTGGCCGAAAATGGGGCTCAAAGTGGGCAAAATCGCCGATGCGTAAACATCGCCGAGACCGCTAACTTTGCGAGAGCATAATTCCGTAAGTTTTCTATCAAATTTCAAACTTTTGGTGTCTTTATGATCGGGAAAAGATTCTCTATCTTTTCATAAGAGAAAATAATTTTTTTTTTTTAAATTTGGCCGACCCTGAGAACGAGTTTCGGAGAGGGCCTGTCAACCCTCAAAGGGTTAATAACTCTCCTCTCCTATTTTTAACTGACAAATCCATTTGTTCTCTAGGTTTCCTGAACTTGTTAATCTCACTCCAAAACTTTTTCTTATTTTCAACAAAATTTGTTGATAACACCTCACCCACTCTCTCATTTGCTCTCTTTTTACATTGCTTCACCACTCTCTCAATCTCTCTTTTTCTCTATATACTCTTCCCTCCTTGCATCACTTCTACTTTGTAAAAACTTCTCATATGCTAACTTTTTCTCCCTTACTACTCTCTTTACATCATCATTCCACCAATCGCTCCTCTTCCCTCCCGCACCCACTTTCCTGTAACCACAAACTTCTGCTGAACACTCTAACACTACATTTTTAAACCTACCCCATACCTCTTCGACATCATTGCCTATGCTCTCATTAGCCCATCTATCCTCCAATAACTGTTTATATCTTTACCTTAACTGCTCCCTCTTTTAGTTTATAAACCTTCACCTCTCTCTTCCCTGATGCTTCTATTCTCCTTGATCCCATCTACTTTACTCTCAGTGTAGCTACAACTAGAAAGTGATCTGATATATCTGTGGCCCCTCTATAAACATGTACATCCTGAAGTCTACTCAACAGTCTTCTATCTACCAATACATAATCCAACAAACTACTGTCATTTCACCCTACATCATATCTTGCATACTTATTTATCCTCTTTTTCTTAAAATATGTATTACACTACCTATAACTAAACCCCTTTCTATACAAAGTTCAATCAAAGGGCTCCCATTATCATTTACACCTGGCACCCCAAACTTACCTACCACACCCTCTCTAAAAGTTTCTCCTACTTTAGCATTCAGGTCCCCTACCACAATTACTCTCTCACTTGGTTCAAAGGTTCCTATACATTCACTTAACATCTCCCAAAATCTGTTGTCTATATTTACCCATCAGTAAATGGGTACCTGGGTGTTAGCCGACTAGTGTGGGTGTTATCCTGGGACACTGACCTAATTTTCTTGAAATACTCTGCATAACAAGCGGCTTTCTATATAGTAGTATGTCACTGATGTCAGCTAGGCCTGTATACCTTGTACATGTACGTGTAGTAAATAAAGATATTATTATTATTATTATTTTCTCAATTGTTTGTTGGGTTATCTTATTGAAACTTGGGCAATGTATGATGGAAAGGTACTTCTTAACATACACCAAAAATGAAAGAAATCAGACCATAAATAGCAGAGTTCACTTCTCAGCCATTAGCAGCCGCTTAGTATATTTTTGTATGGTTTTTATGATTATATTCTCGTTTTTTCGGTCTCATTTGATAGAATGAAAGATACATTACAGAAATAGATATGATTTTGATTGCTTTCATGACGAAAAGTACCTTGAAACTGCACTCACAGTAGTGAAAATGTTCTATTCTTTAGCGAAGCTCATGAGTAAACAAATGACGTCACCGTCCAAGTCGCCTGCCAGTCCAAATTCCAATGCGTAGTCAAGAATGGGTTGACATTATTTATACAATTATTACAATAATGCAGCAGTCTGCATAACAGTAAATCTTCTATTTTTTTGTGAATAAAAATTCCAAATGGTAAGCAAGAGTAATATATGAGGGGCCTGTAGCCGTGACTAATGAACAGAGAAAATGTTATTTTAGTGCCAGGAATGTCTGCATTGTTTATTCTGGACCCTATTTTGAAATTGGCATCTGTTGAAATTTGTGTGAAATTGGCCAAATTGCCAATTTCTGACCACTTTATTGGGTAGTTGAAATAAGTGACTGGGCGGTTTCTTGTACTCAGTTGACAGACTAGAAGTAAGTAAATAAGTAAGTTTATTCAGGTATACACAAATACAGTTACATAGATTATCATACATAGCAGTGTATGTATAGGGAACCTGGGACTTATTTCCAGTACCTGGCTTGGGCTTGTCATATATGATTTTTGGTAAATATTTTTTTTTTTCTTGGTTGTTTGTTGGGCTATCTCATTGAAACTTGGGCAATGTATGATGGAAAGATGCTTCTTAACGTACAAGAAAAAAAAAAGACGGACGATAAATAAGGAGTTCACTTCTCAGCCTAGCCGCCTCTTTTCGGTATATTTTCGCATGGTTTTTATGGTTGTATTCTTGTTTTTTTGGACTCATTTGATAGAATGGAAGATATATTACAGAAATAGACATGATTTTGATTGCTTTCATGAGGAAAAGTACTTTGAAATTGAGCTCAAAGTAGCGGAAATGTTCGATTTTTGCCCATGTTCAATGAACTTTGTGTAAGTCAAGTTGGTTAATTTTATTAAGTGTATTCTAACCTAACCACTCTGTAATCCGGCAAACTCAGTAATCCGGCACACTACAGGTCCCAGTGATGCCAGATTTATGATGGAGGACCTGTATATCTTTCTTTCTTTCAACACACCGGCTGTATCCCACCAAGGCGGAGTGGCCCAAAAGAAAAAACTAAAGTTTCTCCTTTTACATTTAGTAATATATACAGGAGAAGGGGTTACTAGCCCCTTGCTCCTGGCATTTTAGTTGCCTCTTACAACATGTATGGCTTACTGAGGAAGAATTCTGTTCCACTTCCCCATGGAGATAAGAGGAAATAAACAAGAACAAGAACTAGTAAGAAAATAGAAGAAAACCCAGAGGGGTGTGTATATATATGCTTGTACATGTATGTGTAGTGTGACCTAAGTGTAAGTAGAAGTAGCAAGATGTACCTGAAACCTTGCATGTTCATGAGACAGAAAAAAAAAGACACCAGCAATCCTACCATTGGGTAAAACAATTACAGGCTTCTGTTTTATACTCACTTGGCAGGATGGTAGTACTCTCCCTGGGCGGTTGTTGTCTACCAACCTACTACCTACATATTTTTTTTTTTCAACAAACCGGACGTATCCCACCAAGGCAGGGTGGCCCAAAAAGAAAAACAAAAGTTTCTCTTTTTAAATTTAGTAATTTATACGGGAGAAGGGGTTACTAGTCCCTTGCTCCCGGCATTTTAGTCGCCTCTTACAACACGCATGGCTTACGGAGGAAGAATTCTGTTCCACTTCCCCATGGAGATAAGAGGAAATAAACAAGAACAAGAACTAGTAAGAAAATAAAAGAAAACCCAGAGGGGTGTGTATATACTATACGCTTGTACATGTATGTGTAGTGTGACCCAAGTGTAAATAAAAAGTAACAAGACGTACCTGAAATCTTGCATGTTTATGAGACAGAAAAAAGACACCAGCAATCCTACCATCATGTCAAACAATTACAGGCTTTCATTTCACACTCACTTGGCAGGACGGTAGTACCCCCCTGGGAGGTTGCTGTCTACCAACCTACTACCTAACTTATATATATCTTCTTCTTTCAACACATCGGCCGTATCCCACCGAGGCGGGATGGCCCAAAAGGAAAAGCGCAAGTTTCTCCTTTTACATATAGTAAAATATACAGGAGAAGGGGTTACTAGCCCCTTGCTCCCGGCATTTTAGTTGCCTCTTACAACACGCATGGCTTACGGAGGAAGAATTCTGTTTCACTTCCCCATGGAATAAGGGGAATAAACAAGAATAAGAACTAGAAAGAAAAAAAGAAGAAAACCCAGAGGGGGGGTGTATATATAAATGCTTGTACAGTATGTACAGTGTGATTTAAGTGTAAGTAGAAGTAGCAAGACATACCTGAAATCTTGCATGTTTATGAGAAAAGACAAAAGACACCAGCAATCCTACCATCATGTAAAACAATTACGGGGTTTTTCGTTTTACACTCACTTGGCGGGACGGTAGTACCTCCCGGGGTGGTTGCTCCCCTCCCAAACCTACTACTTATCAGAAAATTTTCCAACTGGGTATATTTCTACACACCCAGGGGGAGGTTAGCATGGACCCCACTGACCACAAATGCAGGTTTCTAGATATATCCACACCAGCATGGCTGTGGTGTGCTCTAATTCAAGCCCCTTCAAAGCCACTATTGCGACTCACAAAATCATAACAATTGCCAACAAATCAGAGAATTCGTGTGGCTCAAACCCCGGGTAGGCGAGTCCTAAAACTCACAGGCTTGTGTGCTAACCACTAATGAATCCTACTGAGCCAGCTGGTCCAGTGGTTAACACACGGGTTTTTGTGAGTCTTACGACTCACCTGCCATGGGTTTGAATCCCATCCATTTTTTTATTTGTCTGTAATTATGTTATTAATGATTTCCTGAGTCAAGAAGTAACGATATTAAAATCTAATGAGCATAAACTCAAAACAGATAAGTACCATCTGGGCGAATCCCATCTCCGTGCAGCAGCATAGCAATGGCATCCCAACATTCTTGCTACTCCACAAACAACTGCATTCTTACCAAAGGTCTTTATGCCTGAAAAAAAAAACTTGTAGGTTTTCTTTTTTTTGGAGTTATGACCATTTTTTTAAAAAGTGATTTTAAATTCAAGGTAACTAAACAACAGTAAGTACCTACAGTGTCTGTAAGGTCACATGCAAATTTCAAACAATAGGGGGTAAACCATATAATGTAACAAGAACATATGAATAATGAGCTTAGGAATTCTTGATTGGTGCCCTTTAAATATACATTATCAGACAGATAAAATTAGTTTGCAAAATTCACTGACTAGGCAGGCTTGTGATGAAAAAATAAAAAAATGTGGGGAAGTCTTCATTAAGCAATGGACTGCTGCAAGTTGGTGACCATTCAAGGTAGCTGTCTCAATGATGAAAGGTTCTTGACCCAGGGAATTAAAGCTACCCTTCTCCTTTTATTTTTTTGAATCTGACTGTCTCCTATTTGCCAAGCATTGTATGACAACTAGAGTAGAGGTTTTGCACCCCCTGTCTTCCCTAAGAACACAATAATAATGCTTCTGATAAAATGAAGATCATAAAAAACTAAACAGTGCGACTTATTTCTATTATAGTCCTTAGGATGCAACCCACAACACTCTTAATGCCTGGGTACCTATTTACTGTTAGAGGAACAGGGGCAGCAATTCTATGGTGATTTATCCATACAGTACATACTAAGGTTGAGGGTTAAACATGTTATCAGTGAGTCACAACCAGCTACCTACCAATGAAGAGATTAACTTCATAATATTTATGGTTGAGATGGTTAAGAGACTGGTGTTGTACTACAATATTGAGATAATTAAATTTACTAACTTCAATATATTTCTCTTGTATTCAAGTCTCAATATATTTATTACTCTATTATAAAGTTGCATTAGCTAACAGCTAATCACAAAAAAACTTTTGCCAATTGCCAATCTTAACTTGGAAAACTCTTAAACCTTAATATGGTACAATATAATACAGCATACTAGGGGCATCACAGAATAAAACCACCTCATTCATTCTTAAGTTTGACATTAAAACCCCTGTGTATTCTTTTCATAACAGTAATCCAAAATTTTAACAGACTGCCTATTAATTGATTCAGAAAAGCTACAAAGTTTGTTGTTTACAGCATTAATCTGTTATAGTTATGATCCACAAAACAGACTTTTCTCTATCCACGAGAATTGCCATACCAACCTTTTACACTCCCCTATAATACATTAAATAAGGGATTTTCTGATTACGTTACATTAAAGGGGAGACTGTTAAAATAAAAAAAAGATTATACAGTGCCTGGGATATAAAAGCAATCAATTCCAATTGAAAGAAAGGACATATTAGCTCCAATTCAAATGGGTAAAAAAAAAAAGCCCTTCACTGGCACAAGGTACTTTTGTTAACTAGAATAAGCTAAAAAGTACTCCAAGTGGTAAGAGCTATTACTGAATATCAAAAGACCATAACATACAGAAAGTTTTGTGACATGAAGGTGGAAACAATGGTAGAGAACAAAGACCAGCTTGCAAAACCATTTTCCCTTGGAAACACCGCACCAACTTTAGCTATTGTCTGGCAAGTAAGGGGGAAGCAGTTGAGCTTGTTTCTGGGAAAATATACACAGTGATGGTCACTGGTTGGATTATGCTTAATAAGATTTACTGGGTATCACTCAATATGTGAAGGGTTATACAGCACTTTAAGAATGGGATTAATTGTTTGATCCAAAGAATGAAGGGTAATCAAATTCAAGGTAGGCTACCCCATCCCCTTCCCTCCTTGAAGGCGTACTACTGGAGCTGGAGTGAAAAAGATTACAAGAGATTCTGCACTACGGAAGTCTGACTGTAACACTATCAAATTCCCTCATTTTCTAGCCAAATAAATGTTTTGGCAATACCCTACTGATAAAGAAGGAAATAATTTACACATGAAATTATACCTTGCAGATTTACCTGTATTCAAGCAATCATACCCTTAGCAAAATAATGCAAATTCTCTATAAAATCAAAATGAAATAAAACAAGGTTTGCAATGAGTTTTCACCAGGTAAAGGGAAAACGAAACAATCATGGCACATTGCTGTTTCTAAAAAACCCTCACCATACCGCTTAATAAGCTCCATGACCCCTAGAGGGGTACATGGCCATGCTGTGCATATCTAAACAAAACCTGCCCAAAAACAACAGTAAGTTTTAAGCATCACAAATTTCCCTGAAAAAACTGGCATAAATACCTACGTGTGTATAAAGACAATATATGAGGTGTTGTATGAATAAAAGTTCTTTGCTACAAGTCTTTTCCCTTAAACCCTTTGTCAACTTACAATCCATTATTTGCAGTGTTAGCCATGATTATCAATGTTTCCCAGCAGCTTAAATTATTCCCTTAGTACAGGTGTCCCTCACTTTAAAGAAGGGATGTTTCCTGATGACTGCATAAAGTGAACTCAATATAACAATGTAAAACACATGGATTTGTTTTGGAGCTTTGCAAATTTCACATTACTTGACTAACATTTACTAAAAAAATATGAGCTTGCCACACATGCAACAAATGGGTATGTAGAAAAAAATTAATTTCATAAAACAGAAAAAATTTAAATCCAAAATTTAATTACAATACCTATACAGTACATACAATATAGAATCAGAAAAAATCCACATTACTTATTTTTTACACAAAATTATGAGCATACAGAGAGACACCAACAGTCATATACCAAAATTAAATCATAATCGTCCCTCTTACCCTCCGTCCACCATCAATCAACTAGCCTACCTCTATTAGGGTTGAAAGAACAAACTATGAAACCCTGTGAACACTATCTCCCTACCACTGTCTCCTCCTTCCCTCCATCCTTTTTCCCTACTAACAATTTTTCTCCTTCTCTCATTTACTTTCTCTCCCTACTACTTTTCCAACTCCTTCCCTCCATCTCACCTTTTCCTACATTTCCCTCCTTCCCTCCTCCATCCTCTCCCTACTACTATTCCTCCTCCCCTGCCATCCTCGCCCTACTACTATTCCTTTCTTCCTTTCATTTTCTCCCTACTAGTGTTTCCCTCCTTCCCCCATACTCCTTCCCCTACTACTAATTACCTACATCGCCCTCCATCCCTAGTCCCTACAATGTGTTTTCTTCAACCCAGCTTCACCCCTGGGGGGGGGTTTTAAAGGTGTTTTGTTTTTCCTTCAGATTTGAATACAAGAAATGCAAAAACCGAAAACTATAGAATTCAGGTCAAAATATACAGTGGAACCCCCGCATACCGTTGGCCTTACATAAAACTTAAATCCGCATACCGATACATTTATCGCTAAGAAATTGCCTCGCAGACCGCTAAAAAACCCACTCAACGCTGTTCGTCGAGACGCGTCTAATGTGCGGCATGAGCCCGCCTCACAGTTCCGCCGGTAGCATTGTTTACCAGCCCGCCTCCCGCGGTAACATCCACGCATACAGTCGGAACAAATTCGATTATTACAGTGTTTTTGGTTGATTTTATCGCAAAATATTGACCATGGGCCCAAGAAAGCATCATTGCCGAACCCTACAGCAATAAGGGGAAATTACTCTAGAGATGAAGAAAGAGATCATTGATAAGTTATGAAAAGTGGAGTGCGTGTACCTCCGACGCTGGTGGCCAGGTTGTATAATAAACCCCAATCAACCCATCACTACTATTGTGGGTCAACAAAACGGCAATCATCGGAAGCTGTTACTTGCTGCCAAATGTTCAACTGTGTATTTCGAACAGAGATTCGCAAGTGATGGAAGATGTTGAGAGCCTCTATTGGTATGGATAAATGAAAAACAGATAGCATGAGATAGCAACTCTCAAGTGGATCATAATGAAAAACTAGGAAGTTGCATCCAGGATTTAATTAAAAAAATGCCTGCAACTAGTGATGATGTGAGTGAATTTAAGGCCAGCAAAGGTAGTTTGATAGATTTAAGAAGCATAGTGGCATACAATAGGTGATAAGGCATGGTGAGGCTGGCCCAGTTTCGACCACAAAGCAGCTGAAAAATATGTGCAGGAATTCAAGGAGTACATAGACAGATGAAGGACTGAAACCTGAACAAGTTTTTAAATTAGTGATGAAACAGGCCTGTTATTGGAAGAAAATGCCAACAGGACCTACATTACTCAGAGGAAAAGGCATCTCCCCCAAGGACATAGAGCATAAAACCAGGTTTATCTGTTGATATGTTTCCAATTGCCTAGTGGTGATTGCAAAGTAAGCCATTATTAGTGTATCACTCAGGAAAAACTCCCCGTAAGCGTTCAGTCAAAAGAATATCCTCAAGGCTAATTTGTGTTGCCTGTGTGGGCAAAACAGTAAGGCATGGGTCCACTAGAGACTACTTTTCTATGACAGGTTTAACACCATGCATTTGCCCCCAATGTGAAAGATTACATGAAATGAAAAGAAATTAGACGCTTAAGTGCCTCCTGGTGTGTAACAATGCCCCTGGTCATCCTACAGACAGTGCAGAGTGACTTTAGGGGACATGAGCTCATTTAAGGTGAAGTTTTTTGCGTCCAATACCACTCCTCTCCTGCAAAACCCATGGACCACAGGTTATGCAAACTTCAAAAAACTGTACACATAAGCTCTGTTGAAAAGGTGCTTTGTAGTGACCTCAGGAACTCAACTGACTCTAAGAGAGTTTTGGAGAGAGCCTTTAATTATCCTCAATTGTGTAAACCTTATAGGTAAGGCTTGGGAGGGAGTGACCTAAGAGAACCTTGAACACTGCTTGAAGAAACTGTGGGCCTGAATGTGTTGACCAAAGGATTTTGAAGGGTTTCAGGCCTAACCCTGAAGGAGTAGGCCAGTTGAGGATTCCTTAGCATTTGGGAAAGCCTTGGAGTTGGAGGTTAGTGAGGGATGATTGGAGAGTTGGCAGAGGCTGACAATAAGGAACTAACCACAGATGAGCTTTAAATCAACTTCAACAGCAAGAGGGGCCAGACCTGAGGAAAACTTGGTTCGGTAAGGAGGGGAGAGAGAAATAGAAGAAGTATGCCGCTACCTACAAAGATTAAGGAACCCTGTGCCAATGTGGCTGAAAGTGCAAACCTTTATGGATAAAATCACCCTCACACAGCTATTGCAAAGCCGTGCTGGTAGACTATCCACAGACAATGTTGTGAAACACTTTAGGGAAGTCCATAAATGAACGAAGGTATACAGGCCACTATGGACAGATATGTTGTTGGCTCAGAAGTCCAGGTGACTCTGAAGCTGGCCTAGTGGCATTAAAAGAAGAGGGAAAGTAACCCCAGAAAAGTAGACTTGACACCTCAATCTATGGAAGGGATTCCCCTTCTAAACACTAAGACTCTCCTCCTCCTCCAACCCATCAATCATCAACAGATCTTCAATAAAGGTAAGTGTCAATTGGTAATTGCCATGCTTTTTCAGTTTGTTGTATTAAATTAATAAATCATGTGGTAAAAATTTTTTTTTTCATACTTTGGGTGTCCTTGCACGGTTATTTTGATTTCCATAATTTCATATGGGAAAATTCATTCGCAAAACGATTAATTTTGCATTACAATGAGCTCTCAGGAACGGATTATATCGTTATGGATGTGCGGGGGTCCACTGTACTCTGGGATTCCTTATCCCAAATTATTTATTTCCCCTAGTTCAATATACAGTGACCCCCGCATAAACTGATTACCTCCGAATCACCAATTATGTAAGTGTATTTATGTAAGTGCTTTTGTAACTGTATGTTTGGGGGTCGAAAATGGACTAATCTACTTCACAATATTCCATATGGGAAAATATTCCGGTCAGTAACTGGGCACCTGAACATACTTATGGAGTGAAAAAATATCGTTAACCGGGGGTCCACTGTATAGTGATATTTTCAGGATGAATAATGGTTCATACAAGTGGAGCTGGGCCTGGTTGATTACACAGAAGTGGAAATTTTACACCACACGTGGACAAAATTACATGTACCGGCAGAAATACAGTGACTACATTGGAACTAAATGACAAAATAAAACAACATGAAGCAAAGGAAATCTAAATTGTCACATCTGTCTGTTATTATTTTATTATTTTTGTCTGTTAAAAGACCTACTAGTATCTAGATTTCGAGGAACTGCAAGTCATAATATCTATCTGTTGCATATACGTACTGTGTATCGACTGTAAAAGTCCGAGCTCCCAAAAATTATTAATTAATATGAAGAAACCATCTACTTACCTTACTCACAGAGTCATATTTAGGAGTTGCACATAACTTTAAGGCAAACAGGAATTTTTTTTTTTTTTTTTTTTTTTTTTTTTCAACAAGTCGGCCGACTCCCACCGAGCAGGGTGACCCAAAAAAGAAAGAAAATCCCAAAAAGAAGCAATACATTCATCATCATTCAACACTTTCACCACACTGCTCGCACATTACACTGTTTTTGCAGAGGTGCCTCCAGAATACAACATCCCTAGAAGCATAAACATAAAAGAATACACAACAAATCCCTCCCAAACTGCAATATCCAAACCCCTCCTTTAAAGTGCAGTGCAATGTACTTCCCTTCACAGGACTTCAAGTCCGACTATATGAAAATAACCGGTTTTCCCTGAATCCCTCACTAAATAGTACCCTGCTCACACTCCAACAGATCGTCAGGTCCCAAGTACGCATTCGTCTCCATATCACTCCTAAGCTAACACGCTCACGCCAACCAGCTTGCTGGAAGTCCAAGCCCTTACCCCACAAACCTCCTTTAAACCCCCCCTCTCCTCCAACACCCTTTCGAAGGACGACCCCCCTACCCCGCCTTCTTCCCCTATAGATTTATATGCTTTCCATTCATTCTACTGTGATCCATTCTCTCTAAATACCAAACCACCTCACAACCCCTCGTTCTGGGCCTCTGACCTAATACTTTTATTAACTCCAACAACCTTCTCCCTAATTTCCACACTCCAAATTTTTCTGCATAATATTTACACCACACATTGCCCTTAAACATGACATCTCCCTGCCTCCAAACCCGTTCTCCTCCTCGCTGCTGCATTTACCACCCCAAGCTTACATCCCATATAAGACTGTTGTACTACTATCTTTCAAACATTCCCTTCTCTGCCTCCATAGACAACGTTTTTTGACTCCACATATATACCTCAACGCACCACTCACCTTTTTTCCCTCATCAATTCTATGATTAACCTCATCCTTCATAAATCCATCCGCCGACACGTCAACTCCCAGTATCTGAAAACATTCACTTCTTCCATACTCCTCCTCCCCAATTTGATATCCAATTTTTTCTTTATCTAAATCATTTGACACCCTCATCACCTTACTCTTTTCTATGTTCACTTTCAACTTTCTACCTTTACACACATTCCCAAACTCATCCACTAACCTTTGCAATTTTTCTTTAGAATCTCCCATAAGCACAGTATCATCAGCAAAAAGTAACTGTGTCAATTCCCATTTTGAATTTGATTCCCCATAATTTAATCCCACCCTCTCCCAAACACCCTAGCATTTACTTCCTTTACAACCCCATCTATAAATATATTAAACAACCATGGTGACATTACACATCCCTGTCTAAGACCTACTTTTACCGGGAAGTAGTCTCCTCTCTTCTACACACCCTAACCTGAGCCTCACTATCCTCATAAAAACTCTTTACATGCATTTAATAACTTACCACCTATTCCATATACTTGCAACATCTGCCACATTGCTCCTCTATCCACTCTATCATATGCCTTTTCTAAATCCATAAATGCAATAAAAACTTCCCTATCTTTATCTAAATACTGTTCACATATATGCTTCAATGTAAACACCTGATCTACACATCCCCTACCCACTCTAAAACCTCCTTGCTCATCCGCAATCCAACATTCTGTCTTACCTCTAATTCTTTCAATTATAACCCTACCGTACACTTTTCCTGGTATACTCAGTAAGCTTATTCCTCTATAATTTTTACAGTCTCTTTTGTCCCCTTTCCCTTTATATAAAGGGACTATACATGCTCTCTGCCAATCCCTAGGTACCTTCCCCTCTTTCATACATTTATTAAACAAAGTACCAACCACTCCAACACTATATCCCCCTGCTTTTAACATTTCTGTCATGATCCCATCAGTTCCAGCTGCTTTACCCCCCTTTCATTTTACGTAATGCCTCACGTACCTCCCCCACACTACATTCTGCTCTTCTTCACTCCTAAAAGATGGTATACCTCCCTGACCAGTGCATGAAATTACTGCCTCTGTTCTTCCTTAACATTTAAAAAGTTCCTCAAAATATTCTCGCCATCTACCCAATACCTCCATCTCCCATCTACTAACTCCCCTACTCTGTTTTTTAACTGACAAATCCATATTTTCCCTAGGCTTTCTTAACTTGTTTAACTCACTCCAAAATTTTTTCTTATTTCATTAAAATTTCTTGACAGTGCCTCTCCACTCTATCATCTGCTCTCCTTTTGCACTCTCTCACCACTCTCTTTACCTTTCTTTGTACTCTCCATATACTCTGCTCTTCTTATAACACTTCTGCTTTGTAAAAACCTCTCATAAGCTACCTTTTTCTCTTTTATCACACCCTTTACTTCATCATTCCACCAATCACTCCTCTTTCCTCCTGCCCCCACCCTCCTATAACCACAAACTTCTGCCCCACATTCTAATACTGCATTTTTAAAACTATTCCAACCCTCTTCAACCCCCCCACTACTCATCTTTGCACTAGCCCACCTTTCTGCCAATAGGAATAGTTGGATAAAATACAGTGGAACCCTGAGTTTCGAACGCACTGACTATCAAACGCTTCAAGTTTTGACCATTTTTTTCGAACGAATTTTGTCCCGAGTATCGAATTTGCCCCATGTTTCAAACTGCATACCAGACCTGTCCACCTGCCTACATCCCTCGAACAGGCGTCATGAGCCAGTCTGGCTTTGTTTATGCTTGAGTGAACACTAACCTGCATGCTCATTTAAACATTTCACAATTAATTCATTGTGTTTGGTGCTTGTTTATTAAGTGCGACTATGAAATAAGCTATCATGGTGGTGATGGTGGATGGTGGTGGATGGTGGTGGTGGATGGTGGTGGTGGTGGATGGTGGTGGTGGTGGATGGTACTGGTGGATGGTACTGGTGGATGGTAGTGGTGATGGATGGTAGTGGTGATGGATGGTAGTGGTGATGGATGGTAGTGGTGGTGGATGGTAGTGGTGGTGGATGGTATTGGTGGTGGATGGTATTGGTGGTGGATGGTATTGGTGGTGGATGGTATGGTGGTGGATGGTATTGGTGGTGATGGTATTGGTGGTGGATGGTATTGGTGGTGGATGGTATTGGTGATGGTGGATGCTGGTGGTGGTGGATGCTGGTGGTGGTGGATGATTGTGGTGGTGGATGATTGTGGTGGTGGATGGTATTGGTGGATGGTGGTGGTGGTGGATGGTATTGGTGGATGGCGGTGGTGGATGGTGCCTTCTTCATAGATTAAGGAGATTTGTGCAGTGTAGAAAAGGGTGTAGGTATTTGCTGAAAAATATCACCTGAGCAAGCTGAAAGAAGCCATCTCTGCAACAAGTTCAGTGACAGAACCATGTCCCATTTTAGGAAAATCTTAAAGAAGGGAAGTAACCCCAGATAAGGACTTGTTACCTAAAGTATTTATGGCAGGGGATTACCTTTCCAAACAATAAGTGCTCCCTCACTCTTCCTCTCTATTTTTCAGATGCCATCAACAATCTTCAATAAAGATAAGTAAAAATGTTATTTTATATGTTTATTGAAATATTTATCTATTACTAATTGTACTATGTATGTTTGTTGCATGTAAAACTATAATTAATCTCTATAAAATGTATTATTTTGTGAATATTTTTGGGTTTCTGGAACGGATTAATTGTATTTACATTATTTCTTATGGGAAATATTGCTTCAAGTTTCGAATGTTTCGACTTTAGAACTAGCTCCTGAAACGGATTAAGTTCGAAACTCGGGGTTCCACTGTATGTATAACAATAAAATATATAGCAGTATAAATTTAAAAGTTAATATGAAGAAGGAAAGTTTTTAGGGCACCAATATTCACTGAAAGTAAGTATACTGGAGAATAAAAGCAAATTATCATGGTAGGAACAATTCACAAAAAAAAAAAAAAAAAAAAAAAAAAAAAGAGATAAGACTTTAGTTGATAATGAGCCAGGATGGACAAAAACATCATCCAAGGTTTAAAATACAAGCAAGAGTTATTTGTGGAATGTACAGTGCTGAAGTTACTAATGAATTCAGTATGTTAATACAGCCTCTCCTCACTTAATGACAGAGTTCCGTTCCTAAGACCACATCGGTAAACAAATTCATCGCTAAGTGAGGAGCATACTATAATGGTAGTGAGTTTGTGCCAACTATCTTTGATATTGATTTAATGTCACCTGTGCACCATTTATAACATTTCTGGTATATTTTTAAATGTTTATACAGTAGTGTATTGTATATTGTAATAAACAGAACAGAGGAAATCACCTCTAATACACATTATTTAGGTATGCATACTAGTCACAGAGCCTGTCATAAGTTCGAATTGTCAGTAAATGAGTACGTCACTAAATGAGGAGAAGCTGTATACTGTGCTGCAGAGGAAATTTCTATCCACATATATACACACTAGATAGAGCTCACCTCCCAATATTGACTACATGGAACCCATCAACATCCTTCTCTGGACTCACAGAGTTGCACACAACCTTTTCTTCTATGTGGTCTGGTAGTGGAAGCTGCAATGTTCAACTAGTATCAAGACACAATTATTAGACTAAACTAAAAAAAATACTACACTCACAAATTATTACAATACTGTATATATACTGGGTCTAAAGCCAGCAATGAACAACAAAATACCTTTCATCCATGGACTGCTTGCAGAGGCAAATGCAATGTTCACGGCTTTCACAAAGACCCACATAAAGGATCACTTGGACAGTGAAATATGGATCCCAGGTTACAACCTATACAGATGCGACAGAATGAACAGGCAAAAGGGAGAGGTTGGCCTGTATATCACAGAGTCACTTATTTACACAGTATTGCTAAATGCCTCAAATGATGTAGTTGAAGTTTTAGCAGTATAGATCGAGAACCAAAATCTGTTCAGTGTGGTAGTTTACAAGCCTCCAGATGCAATGTCCCAATAATTCCAGGAACAGCTGTTGAAAATTAACCACTGTCTGGAAAATCTTCCAGCTCATGCCCCCAACATCTTACTCCTGGGATATTTCAACTTAAGGCACCTAAAATGGAGGAATATAACAAATAATATTGTTGCAGTGATAACACCAGGAGGCAGCTCAGATGAGAACTCACACACACAAGCTTTTAAATCTCTGCACAAAATTCACCTTAAACCAGCAAATAATAGAGCCTACTAGATTGGAAAAAACACTGGACCTCAGCTTCACTAACAATGATGATCTAGTATGAAATGTCACCATATCAAAAACAATATACTCATATCACAACATAATCGAGGTTCAGACATGTTTGAGCGGTCACGAGAGAGCCTTCACCAAATTCAACTTCAATAACAAGAACATAAATTGGGACCAAGTAAACCAAGCCCTAAATGATATAAGCTTGGAAGATAGCCTAAGCAACACAGACCCCAACTCATGCCTAGAACTGATTAACTCTGTGGCACTCAATGTATGCTCAATGCATATTCCTTTAAGAAAAAGGAGGAGTAGATGTAAAATAGAAAGAGATGGGTGCTCCCTTTACAGGCAATGAAAAAGAATAACAGAGCAGCTAAAAGAGGCCAATATATCTGCAATGCATAGGGAGACACTGGTCAGAGAAATAGCAAACGTTGAACTAAAGCTAAAGGAATCTTATAGTTAGTTAGTTTAATATGTTTATTATGCACCCCATACCCATCCTGTGGGCGGTAGTCAAAAGATTACAGAGGTACATAATTGGTCCAGGGACTGGACTCCAAAGTTTTGATAGCTGAGCAAGTTACAGAGGCAATGAACTCACAATTTACAAAGGTAATGAACTCACAATTTACAAAGGTAATGAACTCACAATTTACAAAGGTAATGAACTCACAATTTACATCTTATAGAAGTCAGGAATTGCGGGAAGAACTAAAAGCCATAAATGAAATCAAAAGAAACCCAAAGTATTTCTTTTCTTATGCTAAATCAAAGTTGAGAACAACATCCAGTATTGGGGCCCTACTTAAACAAGATGGGTCCTACAAAGATGACAGCAAGAAAATGAGTGAGCTACTCAAGTCCCAATATGACTCAGTTTTTAGCAAGCCTCTAATCAGACTAAAAATCGAAGATCTAAATGATTTTTTTATGAGAGAGCCACAGAATTTGGTAAACACAAGCCTATCTGATGTTATCCCGATGCCAAATGACTTTGAACAGGCAATAAACGACATGCCCATGCACTCTGCCCCAGGCCCAGGCTCATGGAACTCCATGTTCATCAAGAACTGCAAGAAGCCCCTATCACGTACTTTTAACATCCTATGGAGAGGGAGCATGGACACTGGGGTCGTCCCACAGTTACTAAAAACAACAGACATAGCCCCACTCCACAAAGGGGGCAGTAAAGCAATAGCAAAGAACTATAGACCGATAGCGCCATCATCCCACATCATAAAAATCTTTGAAAGGGTCCTAAGAAGCAAGATCACCACTTATCTAGATACCCATCAATTACACAACCCAGGGCAGCATGGGTTTAGAGCAGGCCACTCCTGTCTGTCCCAACTACTGGATCACTACGACAAGGTCCTGGATGCACTAGAAGACAAAAAGAATGCAGATGTAATATACACAACCTTTGCAAAAGCCTTCAACAAGTGTGACCATAGAGTAATAGCGCACAAAATGCGTGCTAAAGGAATAACAGGAAAAGTTGGTAGATGGATCTATAATTTCCTCACAAACAGAACACAAATAGTAGTAGTCAACAGAATAAAGTCTAAGGCGGCTACGGTGAAAATCCCTGTTCAGCAAGGCTCAGTACTCACTCTCATCTTGCTCCTCATCCTCATATCAGACACAGACAGGGATATAAGTCACAGTGCCATGTCTTCCTTTGCAGATGACACCCGAATCTGCATGACAGGAAGACACTGCAAGGTTCCAGGCGGACCTCAACCAAATCTTTCAATGGGCTGCAGAAAACAATGTGAAGTTCAATGATAAGAAATTTCAATTACTCCAATATGGTAAACATGAGGAAATTAAAACTTCATCAGAGTACAAAACAAATTCCTTCCACAAAATAGAGCGAAAAACCAACGTCAAAGACCTGGGAGTGATCATGTCGGAGAATCTCACCTTCAAGGACCATAACATTGTATCAATCACATCTGCTAGAAAAATGACAGGATGGATAATGAGAACCTTCAAAACTAGGGATGCCAAGCCCACGATGACACTCTTCAGGTCGCAAGTTCTATCTAGGCTGGAATATTGCTGCACACTAACAGCACCTTTCAAGGCAGGTGAAATTGCTGACCTAGAAAATGTACAGAGAACCTTCACGGCGCACATAACGGAGATAAAAAACCTCAATTATTGGGAGCGTTTGAAGTTCCTAAACCTGTATTCCCTGGAATGCAGGCAGGAGAGATACATGATTATATACACCTGGAAAATCCTAGAGGGACTAGTACCAAACTTGCACACGAAAATCACTCTCTACGAAAGCAAAAGACTCGGCAAATGATGCAACATCCCCCCAATGAAAAGCAGGGGTGTCACTAGCACATTAAGAGACAACACAGTAAGTGTCAGGGGCCCAAGACTGTTCAACTGCCTCCCAGCATACGTAAGGGGGATTACCAATAGACCCCTGGCTGTCTTCAAGCAGGCACTGGACAAGCACCTAAAGTCAGTACCTGACCAGCCGGGCTGTGGTTCGTACGTAGGATTGCGTGCAGCCAGCAGTAACAGCCTGGTTGATCAGGCCCTGATCCACCATGAGGCCTGGTCACAGACTTTGACGCTGGGGTATTGACCCCTGGAACTCTCTCACTATATCACAGTTCAGAATATGAATCATGACCCAGTACTGAGTTGTAACTGAGTAAGTAGGCCCACTACTGACAGTGAGTAATTTAATTTCATATCAGTTTATCTGTATTAATTGTGTATTTACTAAGCAGAAAAACTTCTTAAATTATAGATTTATTTACTGCTAATTCAGTCAAGTCACTGACTTTACCATGCTCCTCAAAGCCTATGGGAAAGGGGATCCACAAAAGCTTACTTTTAATCCCCTCATCAATAATTTATGCTTATCTGTGTTTGGTCTCATTCAGTAGCTTGCTTCTTTCAGGTCTCAGGGTACTTAGTGCAAGTAAGAAAATAGGAGATCAGACAAACTGGCTAAAGTTTCATAAGTGTAGGCTTAGTTTCAGTTGTTATTATATTTGCGGAGAATTGTTCAACCCATAAGGGTCATGCAGCACCTGAAGAATGGAAAACAAGCAGGTTCAATCCAAGGAAAAGGAGGATAGGTCCAATTCCTTGGATCAAGTGCCCTTCAACAGCAACTAGATACCTCACTTGAGGGGCTAGTTATAGCTGTCCTACATAGAGACTTACAGTACATTATATTTCTATACAGTCTGAACTGTCGTATCAGAGGGCCTCCGCAAAGACAGTGATGATGTATGAGTGAGGTGAAAGTGTTGAATGATGATGAAAGTATTTTCATTTTGTGGATTTTCTTTGTTTTTGGGTCACCCTGCCTCAGTGGAAGACGACCGACATGTTAAAAAAACAGTAAAAAACTAGTGCATGTGCTGCCATCTGCTACTCTGGTGAAGACTACCAATACAATGACTTCATGAATGTGACTGAAGGGTAGTTATGATGATGCAAGTTTATCATATTCAAATTCAAATTCAAATTCAAAGTTTATTCTTTATAAGGATTACAATGCTGAGTTTACAGAATTTGGTTATTGTGTGGTTTACATGTAGTAAAATAATAATTACAGAGTGTACCACTAGAACACCTAGCATGGCTAGGCATTTCGGGCAGACTTAAATTAAATCTGAAGTTTAAAATATTACAAAATTATGAGGTAAGTTGGTATTATGGCTAAGTGACTAAATACTAGTTTGTGAGTTTAGCAATGTGAATGCTTTTGTTTTGGCACTATACATAGTTTCAGTACTGGAGTATCACAGGCCAACTTATGACTAGTTAAGATTCATTATTTTGAGATTGAGATTGATATTTCTGTTTATGGTCAAATGGGTGAATGAAAGTGTTAACCACCAGGTGGTGTTCGTGTAATTAGTTGACAGGGTGTATCAGGGAGATAAGATGTTTTCTGATGGTAGTTTTGAAGGTGATGAATTTTGTCTGCAGTTTTAGAATTTTCAGGTAGGGTGTTCCAGATTTTAGGACCTTTGACATACATTGAATTTTTGTAAAGGTTTAGTCGGACACAGGGAATGTCATAGAGATGTTTGTGTCTGGTATTGTGCCTGTGGGTTCTGTCACAACTATCAAGAAAGCATTTTAGGTCAAGGTTAATATTGGAATTTAAGGTCCTGTAGATGTAGCTAGCACAGTAGTAAGTGTGGATGTACTGAACAGGGAGTAAGTTTAGATCTATGAAGAGTGGGGGGGGTGTTGCCAGGGATGGGATTTAGTGATTATTCTTACTGCAGCTTTTTGTTAGGTTATTATTGGCTTTAGGTGTGTTGCTGCAGTTGAACCCCAAGCACAGATAGCAT